CTTCGCAGGGCTAAGCTGTGTAACTGAGAGTTAACTGACATTCCGTGCCAAAGATTTATCAAGTTAGATTAATTTTATTTTGAATAAGTTCAGTACAAATAAGTATGAAAAGATATTCGTTTATAGATTTTGTTTAATTTATTTACGATTTTAATCATTTAAAGATGTTGTTGAATATATTGTATGGTTTAAATCATCTCAAGAGTTTATTAACTAAATTTTATGGAGTATCGAGACATACCGGGTGGGAGTGTTAAGAATAGCGTACATATAAGACGTTATGTCTTCTCACTCTGCTTCCCCTACTCTTTACCCCTACTTCTCCTACGGACCGTACAGTCCCTTTGTATAGGGCGCTGGTACGCCCTCGCTCTGTCTGTATCCGGTCTAGCTCTGGGCTAGTTGATCAGTACATTATTCTTTCACTGTATCTTATAATAAATATTACATCTTACTTTTTCTATTTGCGTTATTATTTATCAGCCATACCTTAACAAAAATAGAATAGAATACAAAATTAACAATTCATACAAAATAAGTCAAAATAAATCCAATAAAAATAATAAATAATTCTACAAAAATAATTATTAATTATTTATTGGAATAATAAGTTAATAGTATCTTCGAAATGTGTAGTCACATCTGCAAACGATTTGATGGTGTGCAACATACGTCCAAATAATTTTCACAAGGCCCATCTAATGCACTATAAGAAAAATTGCAAAAAATGAATAAAAATGTTACACGTCAATTATTTTATACTTTGATGATGTAAAATAAGGGATTGGGGGGGGCAGGGTGGGGTGGAAGTAACTTATTTGAAAATAAATGAAGTTACTTCGCGTCCAAAACAGTCTCCTCATTATGGATCATTCTTCAATCATTTTAATTAGAATTCTTTCATTTTGCATGTATGTGATTTTAAAACGGCACGTTGCAATATTTTTGTTTATATTTTATTTTATTATACAGTAATATATATATATACAATTATGATGATTATACAAATATATATATCTACACAACATTTTATTCAAAAATGATCCAAAAACAAAACATTTCCCAAATATTTGTACATTCAATTATGTTTCATGGGGTCAATTGTAATATTTGTATAAGAAAGAAAAAAACCAATCAATATGCCGTAAAAGTATAAAAAAAAAAAAAAGATGAAATATAAATTTAAAAGAAATGCATAAATGCCAAATTTATGCAGAATTAAATATTTTTTAAAAAAGTACATGCAAAAACAAAGAACCAAAACAAAGATTATACAGAATAAAAATATAAGCCAAATATACTAAAAAAAATAATTTAATTTTGTAATAAAAAGAGACTATTTGGGAACGCACTCACCCCAATCTTTCATTAAAACTAGACCTGCCAATTCCATTGTCCACTTCTGTTCCACTCTTGCATTTATAATATGGAACGCATTCGCAATTGTTGTTTGTTTTAGTAGGTTAATTTTGAGTTCCAAGAATAGTATTTGCTGAAGTGCTGACAGTAGTACCTCTTCCAATCCTAACAATTAGGCTATCCAAATCTCCATTTGTATTTGGTGGTGGTGCAGCAGTAGTTGAGGAAGGTAGTCTATCATTAATATTTTCTAGCAGACTTTCTAAACTGTCACCTTGTGGACGTGGTATTGCTAGACTTAGGGTAATCAAACCCAACAATGTTAACAATGTCTTCATCTATAAATAAATAAAGAAAAAAAAATAAACAAAAATATGTTTTACATCATTGTAATAGAATAAATGATTAGGTATGACAAAGTTGTTCAACAATTTTAAAAAGAAAATTCTGAATATAAAATACAAATTTATGTTCAAGTATTATGAGTTTGAAATTATTAATAAATAGATTGTAAATAGTGTGTTTTTATTGAATTAATTGTTATCTTGATTTAACATGTCTTTTTTTATTTTTAATTATTCTTATAAAAACATTTTGATGTAGATAAGTTGGATAATAATTCTGAGAACGTAATTTTTATTATGTCTTGGAATTTTCACAGAGTTCACATATTTTCTGTTTATTAAACATTATTATCTAGAATAAGTCATAAATTCATGGTGATATCAATACTAGTTTATTATTAATGAATGTATGTATTAATGAGTGATAATATTTAACGATTACGACCTATGTAATAATATACACACAATTATATTTATCATGAATGTTAGTATTTACTATGTTTATGTAAATGATTTATCTATGATCAGTATTGGAAAGATTAAACGTGTATAAATAATGTTTTCAGTAATTTTTACATTTTCTTCGCAAGAGAAGATATCCTCAAGAATTTTTCTCAATATATGTATATWTKTGTGTGTRTATATGTAAATGACGKATGTAGTTAAATTTATTGCGCAATTATTTAGTTTTCAAATTTATTTAAATTTTAAAAATTAAAATTACAATTTTATTAAAGATTATAAATTATTAAATAAGATATTTTTAATGATTTTTATTTTATCTTTTCTTTTTTTTCTTCATGATCCGGAATGCACACGAGAGTGTAAAAATAAATTTAAAAAAAACCGTTATAACGTTTAAATTTTAAAAACGAAAAAAAGCCAATCAAAAGTTAGCTCAACTGTTAAAAAAACACTTTTGAATGATGATGTTATTGGGTAAGGGGTTTTAATTATTTTTAAAAAGTACTTTTATTTATATTTTTTTTTTGACGTAATATGAAAATTAATGATGTAATGATAATTGATAGCAATCAATTATACTTACAGCGAATATTTATACAGTTGAAATGATGTTATAAAATAAATTGATGATGATGAAAAAGAAGAAGAAGAATTCCAGATACGAGTTTAATCAAGGAATCTGACGATAGTAAGTTCTTCTCAACTCTGTAGCAATCTCTCAGCTGAACTTGAAGAATCCCTATTACTTTCTAGTCTTATGAGAACCATTCCCCACCATTATTTATCTTTAATATTAGATATGAAAGTATATATACTTCTTCAGATAGCGTGGCATCTTTACCATTCTTTGTGCCTTTTGTTTTATTTTATTTTATTTGAATGGACAATTTAACACGATACTTTATCAATTTCCTCTTGACATTTCCACCATATTCCAAAATTCCAATGACCATAATAATCACGTTAGTTCGATACTTGACCAATCGATAATTTATGTATGTAATTATTTTTTCTTTTAGTTTATATATATTATTTTATATTATATATATATACAGGGTGGGTCAGCACATTTTACCATCTAGATTTACGTTATTATTATTACGCGTAGCAGACAATGTTTCACATGGAGTTGAATGGCTTTAAAAGGGGTTCATACTGATGGTACTTTTTTTTTTGTAGGTGGACGTGTAAAGGACATATGATGGTCATTAATGTTTTTTTAAACGGAATCATATATTATTTATTGCATCATCTGATGCTCTTTCATATTATTTACAAAAAAGTATTAACAAGTTTGTGTGGTTGAATTAAAAGATAATTAAATTGAACAAATTTATTAGTAATAAATTTAATATTGTATATAAAAGATTAATTATATCAATCAGAT